AATAAAGCCCTCTGGAAAGTGAGAGCTCTCCTAAATAGATTTCAACAAAGCTGCCATGAAAAGATTCCCTTCACAGGCCGGTGTCCTGAATGGGCTTTACAAACCAAATCCCAGAACTTCAGAGAGCTAGCTTACACAATTCCTTTTATCCATAATGGACTTCTCAGACTCATCAAAAGCTGCTTTTTCCTTTGCCTGAACTTTCATCTTCTTGCTCTAATATCTGGTGGTCATTTGCTGACATCTCTAAGTATGACTAAACTTCCACAAATATCTTCCTGCCTCACTCAGGCCTCATATCATTCCATAATCAAACAGGACTTAATTTCCACTAAAAAAAAATAAATTAAAAATTAAAAATTAAAAAATGAAGCAACATGATTTACCACAGGATTAAGACATAGACATAGACACAGACAAACAGGCACACACAGACACAAACATGCATTCCCACCCTCATGAACACATATACAAATACTCAGCACTCACCCAACGTGGAGACAAACAGAAATCGACACCTTACACACACTCACACTCCCCAAACATACTCTACACCCCAGGTCCAGATACCCTCAACCCCGGAGAGACAATCGGCTCCTAGACCCAGGAGATGTTACCCTTTTCCCTGGGGTGGGGTCACGCAAGTAGTCCCTACCTGGGACCAGCTCCCCTGCTGACTCCAATGACTTCCACAAGCAGAGAAAGAGAGAGTAATACATTGTGCTGAAAAATTATTAAATGATCTCAAGAGAAACTGCCTCTGCTTTCAAGGAGAAAACTTAAACAGGCACAAATTTTCAGCTCTAACTCCCATGTGCAGGAGTATTGCTACTGTGAATGAACGGAACGGAAAAAAAACCATCCACCCAAACATGTGGTAATAATGAGTATGCGCCGTTTTGTGTGTGTGTGTGTGTGTGTGTGTGTGTGCAGTGCTTGTCTGTGCCACAGATAGCTTTTATCAAAATGTGACGATTAGCAAAAGAGTGGGTGAAGGTGTGGAGATGGGTGTCAGATTATTTTTAATCCACGATACAAGTCCTGCATAAATGCGTCAAAGTTCCGCAAAGCCTCGCTTTGCCCATCACTACCACTAACCCACAGTCAGCAGGCAATATGATTGCAATACTTTGTAGTATTAGAATTTGCAATGGTATTTGTGTCTTTACTACTTTTGCTTAGACCAGTGGATCACAGTGACAGTTGGACAGTTGGTCCTTGGTGGAGTGTTGTGCAGACACTATCAGGAATTAGTCCAGCATAATTTAACATAAGGAATCAAACAAATACAAAGTGTGATTTGTGCATGCTTACTAATTATTTACTAATTCAATTAGATATTAATTATTTAAATTAAAAAAGTTGAAGACATTTACACCACACAACGACACACAGAAAAAATACAAAGGATATGAAACAGGTGAGTAAAATATGGACCAGTTTTAACAGTTTACAATGTGCTTGTTTTACACAAATTAAATAGAGAAACAGACATGTAGAAAATCTAACGTTTTTTTTTTTTTTTTACCTCACCAAGCAGGACCAGGCAAAATATACAAGCTGTCAGTGCAGAAGCACCAGGTTCACAGTCTCATGACAGACCGCAAGATACAGTCTGACTTAAGGGTTTACTCTGCCCTCTGCTGGTGAGTGTAACAAATGTGCAGAGGGCATTTAACCTACAGTAGACATGTTTTATACTCAAAATTATTAATCTCATTAAGCTATGACAGAATGTCCAGAGAGAAAAGCATCCCGGGAAGAATTTGTTGAGTAACATTTTCCCAGAATGAGAACAATATTGGCCATTAAAAAGTGCTCACCTGTTGGACGTTTCAAGCAAGTATTTATCCTTAAACAATCTAGGTAAGTTAGTATTGCCACACCTGATAGGATTTGGCTCAGATTTTATGCCTGATGATCTTTGAGGCATAACACTCCTATTTAATGGGGACTGGGATGTAAACTAGGAGTACACTAGCTGTGATGCCCTGAGGCTTGATTTGTGCCTGCTGTCTTCTCTTGGTCCTGACTGGGGACCTTTTACATGTTAGGCAAATGTGTTCAGTCCAAAGAAGCACACTTACCCTTGCATAATAAAACATTTAAAATGTTACCTGAAAAG